AAGCTCAAACTAAAATCCTCCCGTCTATTAATGTTGAGAAGAAAACCATGTTAAAACAAAGTCAGAATTGGTAATAGTAACGAAGAAGATAATTAAAAATAAGAAAAAGAAAACAACTCAATTACAATTTTTGTCTGAATCGACTAATGACACGTTTAACGTTTGGCAGATTAGTGTTGAGCATTTAGAAATGAGGAGATTATTAGGAGAGCTGATCAGCGTTTTTGGTCAAACCTCAAATGTGGTTGGGTTTCTTGTTTTATTCTTCTTTTTCGGCGGAGTTGGGAGACCAATACCTCAACAACAAACAAAATACAAAGAAATTATCAGGCAAGAAGAGTACGCAACTTGCCACATTGCAATCACTTTTTTTTTTTTATATCTCACGCGTATCATTTTTTCTTTGTTTCTGTACTTTCTGTTTTATTTTTTTAAATAAACATTTTTGATTGATTGATCAAATTATTTATTTTTATTTTTTTAAGTTATAAATTTTAGATACATTAAAAATACTTTTTTTCCTTCCTAAGAGTCTCCCTTTCCCTCACTTCCAATAGGATTAAATGCTTATTTAAAAATGAATAAATACGTTTGATCGATTGATCAAGTTGTATATTTTTATTCTTTCATATTTCTTTAGATTATAACTTCTAGACTTATTAAGAACATTCTCATTCTTCCCATTCTATTTAAGTAAAATTAAGATTAGATTAAAATTTTATCAAATATAATTATTTAAATATAATTCATATTTCCATCATCATTTTGACCACTAATAAAAATAGCTTTTTAAATGGAATAATTTTGGGATAAGTTTTAGTTTGGGAAATGAAAGTAGTCCAATAAGTCATAAAGGGAAAGTGAGTTGGAGAAGGGTGAATGGTCGATGTCAGCAGGAGGAGTAGGTGAGTGACAAAGGGAACAATTTCCTTTTCCACGCTTATATATTATTTCAAACCTCTCCTGACTGCGCTCACCATCTCCCCACCCGTTTAACATTTTCTTCTTCTTCATCCTTCGCAGTTGCATTCATTTTCAGGTTTGTTTATGCCGATTCCCTTCACTAATCAAGTTTTTTAATTAAATTCTTTTCATTGTTTTCTTTATATACATCATATATCGTTGAATCGCCATGGTTTTTTGAGTTCCATTTTCGAATGCCTCGGAAAATTTTGTTTTCTCTTCTGTTTTTCTAAACAACCCGTACAGTTAAAGCATCTCATCCTGCGGACGAGAGGCGATTGTTGTTTGTTGATTTTAATTTTATAGTACCTGTTTTTTTAGACTTATATGGAGCTAAGTAATATTCCACTTAATTGTTTGGCGAAAAAGATTTAAGTAGGTTTGCCAATGTTATTATTTCAATAATAAAATACGTTGAATCAGGCCAAAACTCTGGTTCTTATTCAAAGCCAGATTGTGAATTACTGTCAATCATGTTAGATTACAAGTTGAAATGAACTTGATTCAATCATTTTAATATATTTGAGATCTTTAATATTTTTTCTTTATGCTAAAGAAGGTAATAAATCTCACCTGTATAATCGGCTTGTTTGTCCCATTTATTGTCAGTTCCCTCGGAGTACTCAATCGAGGCTCTCATTTGTAGGTGGAGACAACAAATCCACTTTCCCCTGTGAACCCACCCGCACCACAACCATGATTGTAAACGTAAAAGAATCAACAATGGTACGGCCGGCGGGCGAGACCCCACGGAGGAGCCTGTGGAACGCCAACGTGGACTTGGTGGTACCCAGGTTCCACACCCCGAGCGTTTACTTCTACAGGCCGACGGGAGCGGCCAATTTCTTTGACCCGCAGGTCATGAAGGAGGCACTGAGCAAGGCCCTGGTGCCTTTTTACCCCATGGCGGGGCGGCTGAAGAGGGACGAGGATGGAAGGATCGAGATCGATTGTAATGCCGAAGGGGTGCTCTTTGTCGAGGCTGAAACGACTTCCGTGATCGATGATTTTGGTGATTTTGCACCCACCTTGGAGCTCAGGCAACTCATTCCGACCGTTGATTATTCCGGTGGCATCTCCACTTATCCACTCTTGGTTTTGCAGGTAATGAGTTTTCACCTTATATATCCTTTTTTTATTAGTAAGTGAATATTGGCTTCACGTATACACCGTATTTTATTTTAAAGAAGCTTAAGGAAAAGATAAATTTATATAAAAGATTAAGAGAATTAAAATGATATTTTTCAAAACATTTTCTTCTTAAGCTTTCTCAAATTGGATAAATAAAATTTGAGCATTTAGATAAAGAATGATACTAAACTCTCTCTGCATATAAACAATAATAAAATCAATGAAATATCTATAAATATCTTTTAGAACAGATATATATATATATATATATATATTAACAACAGTAGTAGATTTAGAAAATATTTTTAAGTTAGACACGTATATATTAATAATATAAAATTTTTATATCTAGGTGGATAAGATAAAATTTCAAGGTGGGCACGTGCCGACCCTAGCATCAACCTACTTCCGTCACTAATTAACAACATAAAATTTATTAAAAATAAAAGAAAATTTAAATTTTAGATTGAACACAATTAATAAATGAAATAAATAATAGAAGATTTAGATTTTAGAGTGGACAAGTATATTCTCAGCTTGTTAAGGTTCTTATTTTCCATTCCTTCAATTTTCTTTCTTTTCTATATTCACATCCAAAAATAAGATATTTCAAACGAATTTTTTTATAATATTTGAAAGAAAATACCAAATTTAGGAGAGAACTCTACGTTATTACTTTCAAAATTTTATTTAAGATATATTTCTCAACGATAAATTTACACATGCACAATCTGTTGAAAAACAGATCAGTTTATTGTCAACCAAGATAGATGTTGGTTGGTTTGTACAAGCCCAACTACCCCAACATCCCAACTAAGCAAAAAAGGGGAAATGTTTGGTGGAGTGAAAGTGATGTTAGTAGAAGGAAACAAGTTTAGTGACGAAGTTGGTGAAACAGCAGCCAACCATCCCACTTTATTAATGCATTTTGTTTCGGCCTTTGTTGTTCCATCATTTACAATGATTTGATCCACTAGCCTACATGGGCCAGTATATTTGAGTCGTTTGTTGACTGCCTGCATAAGCATCCCAACTTTTTGTGGGTTAGCATGATTTGGTGTGTATGTGAATGCTGTAGGAGCTAACCTTTGGCCGTGTCAGTCGTTATTTTTGCTAACATTCAGTGCCACTCTAGGCATCTATCTTCATCATGGCTTACTTTAGTTGCCATTAACACAGAAATACGGTCCAACTGAAAAAGTTGAGATCATCATACGCCTTACGAGTTGTCATTATTGGTTGAGCTTTGGTGGTGCCTACCACTAACCAATTCGCTGGTGGAAACTAATATATATATATATATATATGTGTGTGTGTGTGTGTGTGTGTGTACTTAATATCCACCTACTTGGAATGTTTGTTATGCTTTCAACTTATGCAATGACATGTGATGTGTCATACTTATAGTAGATGTTATGAATAGGGTCTAATGTAATAGTATATTTTTAGGCCTCTGTTCTTTAGTGAAGTTAGGCTAATCCTCATTTTAAGCAATGAATACTTGGATTTCATGCTCTTGTTCATGTGTTTGTTGAACAACTTTGGGAGCAATCATTACAGATTTCAGTCAATACAACTGTGGAGTTGTTTTAAACATGATTTTGGTTTTGATTCTGTTCAGGTCACATATTTCAAATGTGGCGGTGCTTCACTAGGTGTTGGCATGCAACATCATGCAGCAGATGGATTTTCTGGTCTCCACTTTATCAATACATGGTCTGATATGGCTCGTGGTCTTGACCTCACGATTCCACCGTTCATTGACCGGACTCTTCTCCGTGCCCGGGATCCTCCACAACCCGCGTTCCACCACCTTGAATATCAACCTCCTCCTGCATTGAACAGTCCACCCCAGCCTACAGGTCCTGAAAGCACAGCAGTCTCCATTTTCAAATTGACCCGGGAACAACTCAATGTACTCAAAGCCAAGAGCAAGGAAGATGGGAACAATGTTAACTATAGTTCATACGAGATGTTGTCAGGTCACGTGTGGAGATCGGTCTGCAAGGCTCGTGGACTTACTGATGATCAAGGGACCAAATTGTACATCGCCACTGATGGAAGGTCTAGGTTGCGCCCCCCGCTTCCACCTGGTTACTTTGGAAATGTGATCTTCACTGCTACCCCAATCGCCGTGGAAGGTGATCTAATGTCAAAGCCAACATGGTTTGCTGCAAGCCGTATTCACGATGCATTGGTTCGGATGGACGATGAATATCTAAGGTCAGCTCTTGATTACCTAGAACTTCAGCCAGATTTATCCGCTCTTGTTCGAGGTGCACACACTTTCAGGTGTCCGAACCTCGGGATTACTAGCTGGGTTAGGCTACCAATCCATGATGCAGATTTCGGCTGGGGCCGCCCCATATTTATGGGTCCTGGAGGGATTCCTTACGAGGGGTTATCTTTCGTATTACCAAGCCCCAACAATGATGGAAGCTTATCAGTTGCCATTTCCTTGCAAACCGAACACATGAAAGTGTTTGAGAAGATCTTTTATGACTTTTAAAGGGGGGAAAACACAGAGAGAAACAATATATCCCGAACCTGGTTTATATCAGACCTGCTAAAAGTTTCCTTTCCCGATTTACTAGTTACAAACCACATGCTAGCATATGCATAGAGAAAAATGAGCTTTGGACGTACGTTGTTTTACTAATTCGGTTCAATATGATGTTGAAATTTATAAGAATGTTGGCATGAAATGATTCTAAGGTGAGTATCTTTGTTTAGATTACACACACTGTCTTAAAACAGTATCTGAGGTTCAAATTCCTCTGTTTTTTGGGGGTTATTTTCAAAGTCCTCTTTTAAGTGACATGTCTACAAAATCATCTTCTCAATTCTGAATGTTTGTCCTTGTATAAACGATTGCCCATAGAGATTTCTTACTTCATAATTAGTTATATAAATAACAAAACCTTTATTTAAACGATAATAGAATTGGTAGAAAGTAGGAACAAGCTGCAACAAAATACGGAGGTTATGGACCGTGTTCTAATAATCATTCTCTTTCTATGACTTAAAATCTTTCACCAAAAACTAAAAAAAGACTTCGAATTGTTCTAGCTTCATCCAAAAGAGAAAAAGACGGAAAAAGTTGGATCAGTTGTCTTGTTCCTTTTGTTTGTAGGTGATCTCAGAATATATTGAGAATTAAAGCTGGAAATGATAGGATAAGGGTGAAGATTACATGTAACGCAACAGTTAACACAAGGCACGGTGGGTTGAGGAGCGGTGGAGCTGCGTTTTTCTTGTTAGGATGGTGGGGGACATCTGCACCACCGTATGCACCTTTTCCACCCTTTGATTTCTCAGACTGAAAAATTTTGTGATGTTGCTTGTAGTATTCATCTTTATCGTCGACTTTTGCCGAGCTAACCATCCTGTTGAGACCTGCATGCTTCAACACTGAAATTCCGACTGGTTTCAGGTAAGACGATTTCAACAGACGAACAATACAACAAAAGAAAACAATGGAATTCTTATTTTACCATGGGCGTCGTGTCCTTGAGCAACAGGTCCTGAGAGATTGAAAGCTGGAGATTTTGGTAAAGGAAAACCTTCAAGCTTCCCGCATGAAAGGGCAGTTGTACATGACAAAACTATGAACCATGCAAAAAACTTCAACATCATTCCTTTAAACTGATGGATTTGACCAAAAAAATCGTTTCTTCCTATTATAATTGAAGAGAAGAAGGCAGCTTGATGAAGATGCGAAAGAGCAGTGTCGTATTTAACTATTTATGCAGGAATTATTGAAATATGAACAGAATGGCAGTAAAGGTAGCCTGAAAAAGGAGCATCTTCTCAATGTGGCAGCAAAAAGCAAATGCCAAACCAATTTTATTTCATCAGTTTTCACGTGGAGTGTTTTTAATTTATTTATTTTGCTGTAATGCTATTGTCTACTCAAGTTTCAAGTATTTCACGTCCAATTAGTGGCAGCCACAAAATTTTCCCAGGACCTAACATGAATTACAAATGTTTACGAATTAAGATATAATTTTAGTATTATATTTAATTTCTAATTTTATAATTAAAAAATCATAATTTTAACATTAATAGTTTTATCATAATTTTGGATTCGAATGGAATAACCATTTTAATATATTAATAAATGCAAACATGAAAGTATTCTTTTATCATTAATATTCTAATATTGATGGAGACGTTCGTTGAACAGGTTACTAATGCTCCACTGTTATTCTTACGACGAAAATTGGAATCACAACATAGTAGTGGAGACAACAAGATTCTTAATTTTGAGGTCGTGGGATCGAGTCTCACGGAAGGCATTTCATAATTCGGAGGTCTTCTACGGAAGCTGCTCTCAACCTGGTGTTGGGGAGCAGCTTACTATCTTACCTCCCCTTACCCCATTACATATGAGAACAAGGGACAACCATTTTAACATAGGGGAGACAACAAGATTCTTGTGCAAGAGTTGGTCCACTCCTTTATTATTATTATTAGATTAAAAATATAAAACATTAAAAGCTTCATTTTTCTATCCAATAACCATCAAACATTATTTTATAGTTATATATATTGGTTTTCCACCGTACGTGAGAATAGATTGTGAAAAGTTAATATAGAAAAAATCAGGTATATTTAGCTATGTATATATGTATATATTTCATTTTTATAAATATAATTAAATACAGACAATATAAATCAAGTTATTGTTTCATAGTGTAATTCGAATGATCTGGTTGATGCAAGAATGGAATAATTAGACTCATTTTCCTAAAAGCATTAAAATGTGATTGGTCAACAATGGTAAAGTAATTTAGGCGTGTAGTTAAGCAAAAGTAGCTATCGAATAACATGTCAATTCTTTCTCCACCATCGCCCATAAGCCAAAAAAATAAAAAAGAAAATAAAAAGCACATTTTTGACTAATTTACCGAATATCATATTTTTTAATTAAATATCAATTCCAACAAACAACTAGTTGGTCTAGGGAGATGAGACACTAAATTCCTTAAGCAAGATCATGAGTTTAAACCCTAACATTTGCAAATAGAGCAAACTGAGTTGGAAGGGTCGCCATCGCCTCTACAATACTCAATTTAAATTAATCGATTAATAAATCGAATACCAGTGATTAATATATATATAAATATATATATATTGATAAATTGTAACATCCTCAATACCGGGTTAGTGACCAAATTGTAAAATTTCAGAATTTGGTAATAAAAGTATAATAGTTGAATAGTTCAATGATTTATTTGGAAATATTTCCTGAAAGTTATTAGTAATTATCAAAGGAATTAAATTGCAAAATGGTTATTTGACAAGAAATATATTTTTCTTTCTTTGATAAATATGAATCACGTGGGGGTGGGGAAAGAGTTATCTGAAAAGTATCTTCTTCTTTTTTCTTCTTCTTCCTCTCCTCCCGTATCTCCAAGCTCAAAGGTGAGTTTTCTATTTAGTTATTTTCTGATTAAATTTAAGGTTGGGTTATGATCATTAGATGATAATTAAGCTTAAAGAAAGTTTAATTTGTTCTAAAACAACAAGATGAAAGGTATAGAAGAGATTAAAGAAAATGAGTTTTTAGATGAATTTCTGGAAAAGAGTTAATAAGTGAATTTTGAGAAGAAATTTGACTTGTCATCACTAAGAATAAGAGTTTTATGAAGTTAGAAAGGATTAATAACAAAGTTGAAAGTTTAGTAAGATTCTTAATTTTAAGAATCATGATGAGATATGGAAAATAAAGATGGTTTATATAGATATAAGTTGGTTTAAGTAATGATAGTTGAGTTTAATGGCATAATAAGGGCTTAAAATAGAAGAATTGAGTGAAGAGTTGATGATTTTCGGACTTAAAAAGTGATTTTCTGGGCAAGGAGTATCGGTACCCATTCAATAGGTACCGATACACTCTTAAACGAAATTTACAGATTACAATAGGGGTACCGATACCCTAGGGGAGGTACCGATACCACCCTAAGAGAAAATGGAATTAAGCTTTTCGTTTAGTCCAAGAAATGAAAGTAACACTTTCTTTAGTTCAAGAAAGGAAATATTAGAGTATATCAATTGGAATATTGATATGGATATATGTATTGTCATGTAGATATAGAACGTAATCTTGTTCCGGAACAATCAAAGAATTAGGATCAAGTCAAAGCAAGCAAGGCTAAGGTGAGTGCAATTTAATTGTACTTATGTTATTGATCAAACATTGGCTTGCGATGAGCCAGTGACGGAGTTACTACGGTAAGAAGTGACTCCTAAAATGTTATATGATTGATGTGATTCTTATATATGCATGAATACATGAAAATATGTATATGTTATTATATGTGACATGACCTATAAGATTATATGAATATGCAATATGTGATATATGAACATAAGTGATTAAGTGAATGAATATAGATGACATAAATAAGATGATATAAGAGTATGATATGAATTAAATGATATGAGTTATATGAGAAATATATGTGAAAAATATATGATATTATATATATATATATATGTTTATGTGATTACATGCAAAGTGATATGAACTATATGCCATATGAATGTGGAATAAGCTATGTGATAAGGACATAGAGAATGAAATGAATATGTGGCAATGAGTTATGAGAATATACGAGAAAGTTATGATATAAGATCAATGATTACACGTACATGTGATATGTAACGGAAAAGAAGTGATATGTGTTTATAAGAGAAATGATGTGAATATGTGAACTATTATAAATGATAATACCCATGTTATGTGATATGAGAGCTAGTGGTATAGTTGGCATGCCAAGAGTCGAGGGATTACCTATGTCTTTTAGGACATATGGATAGTATTACCTATGTCTTTCGGGACATATGGACAATATTACCTATGTCTTTCGGGACATATGGACAATTTACCTATGTTCTTCGGGACATATTGACAGTTTACCTATGTTCTTTGGGACATATGAACAGATTATTATACGAGCTGTGGTGACAGCATAAGTGTGCACAACCTCTATGTACTCACATATCTTTAGTTCACACTAGTGTATCATGGGCTAATAAAGAAATAATAACAAATACAATATATGTGATGGATATGCTTTTATATGATATGATAGTATTAATTGTTTATGAATTGATATGAGTAGAGTAATATTATATTTTTTCATGCCTTACTAAGTCAACGACTTAGTGTGTGATTGTTTTACACGTAGGTTTCAAGAAGAGGAAGATTGATAAAAGTTATGCAAGACATGTCAGTTTCTCCTTTCCATAGATCAGATCAGAAAAGAATTGAATAGATTGTATTTGTATTTTTTAATATTGATTGAGGTTGGAATGTAAATAAAGATTTGAATCTGATATATATATTTTAATCGGTTTTGTAAATTCATATGATTGAGTTTTGTAATATTTTAAACTTATATATATAAAAGGTAAATGTATAGTGATGAAAGTTTTAAATTTTATGAGTTTTTAATAAGTAGACGAAATTACTGTAGCAAGGGTATCGGTACACTGTAGCAGGGTATCGATACCCCTGCAGTATTTTGGAAAATTTTTAGAATAGGTACTATTCACGGTACTGTGTTCATTATTGTTTACAATATTGTTCATACAATATAGAATATTTATACCGTATAGTTCTGTTCATTGAAAACATATTTTTTTCAAATTTGTTATAATGAAATATAATTCAACAATATATGATCATATTTTCTTAATATAAGTCCAAACGTTTTGTTATTTTGTAAGTAAATTATTTTAAAGAGTCAATGTGACATCTCAGACTCGTTTTCGGGTCGGGTACGGGTTAGGGTGTTACATTTAAAGGTATCAGAGCTATGATTTAGCCGATTCTAAGCTTAAAACGAAGTTAAAAATATTTTAAAAAGTATACATGCCAACACAAAGGGAAAAATTTTCTGATCTGATAGTGTAAGGAGTGTACTATATTGTTAATAAAGTTAAATTGTTATGTTATATTAGACGTATGATCATGAGAGCTTCCAAAGTGAAGCACAAGGTGATAGACTGAAGGTAATAACAATTCACCTGCCCCGGACATACATGGAAAAGAGATAACACCTCAAGGAGTGCCTGTATAAGATTAGAGAATGTTTTCATGATGTGGAATGATATTTTGATGTGTTTTCAATTTTCCACTTCTTTAATTCATAGAATGAATGTATTGAAATAGTTAAAAGAGTTAAGAGCACCCGATTTCAAGGGTGAAATTTAGGAAGGTTCTGTTGTTACAGACCTTTAGTTAAATGATATGAAGATAATGTTAGAAGGTCCATTTCTCGAAAGTGGAAAAGTTAAATTGAGTAATTTCTTTACTACGTGGGTAAGCTAGAGTATGGTGGACAAATGCCACCATAAGAATGTTAAAAAATCAAGTGACGTGGTTATTGTTTGTATAAGAGTTCAAGAATAAGTACATTGATGACTAGTTTATAAGACAAATGAAGATAGAATATATGAGCTTGAAGCAAGGGAATTACACGTGCATGTGTATGAGTATAAGTTTAATAAGTTAAGCAGATTTATTGCTGAGTTGATTCTGATTAAGAAGGATAAGAATGATATATGTGATTGGCTGTTTAGGGCTTATACCTTAAATTAAAGAGTGTTACTGGTTTTGAAATTGTTCTCATTTCAAGAAATGGTTAATCGCGTTAAAGCTCTAGAGAGAGCTCAGAATGAAAGGATTAGAGAACAAAAATCTCAGATGATTAAGAGAATTAGTGCTTCATAGAGTTAAGCACCATCACA